AAAAAAAGCCATGTTCATTTGTCAAAGATGTTTCTGAAAGCAAAGTTTGTTTAAACTAAGTATTGGCAAATGCTCAACTGGTTCAGGCCACTGAACTTGCCATTTATCTTGTTTCAAGATTTTACTTAAGAAACATGATTTAAAATATTTTTCCTATTGAGTTTTGTCATATTTCCAGCCCTATGTGCTAATGATACATGTTAGAATGATACAACTTTTTAAAATAATCATAATGATTTTTAGTTTAATATGCAACAGTATTTAATAGTAAATTTGATATCAAATATTGATAGAATATTAGGTTTATTATTACACAATATTTTTTGTCTATCTATCTATCTATCTATCTATCTAGCTATCTATCTATGACAAACGCTTCATCCCATGTACATTTGCCACAAACTCCTGGAGGAGTGTGGAAGCTGGCCTCCTGTCCACTGACTATGGTCCAGGTCTGAGACACCGTTTGGGAGTTAGTCTGCCCAACCGCCATTAACAGGTTTCCCTGAGTGCCCTTGGTTCGGCACTTTTCCTTCATTCGAATGGAACCAAATGCTAGCTCCCTGGTGGCTGTTCGCACAAACCAAACCCATGAATAGTACTCAGTGATACTTAGCCACGACCGATATGAAACTAATTTTGGCATGAGGACTTCGCGGGTTCCTGGTCACCTCCGCGGGACTGAGCCGCAAATGTTATGGAACTGTTTTCGGCATGAGGTGACCATGTGGTTCCCGGATATCTTGGTTTGGGGTTTTGAATCCCTTTGCAACCCACCAGGAGAGTTCTTTTTGGAGTGAAGGTGTCTGAGACTAAGGGGAACAAACGCCCCCTGGGTGCCAGGTGGAGCACCCCGTATTGCAGATGCAGGAGCTCCCAGAGGTTGACCGGCAAAAGCACTAAATGCCCTGGAACTATTTTGGGCATAGGACCATGTGTGCGGCTGGTCAAAACTTTAACACAGTGGAGTTTACCTTAAACTACATGGATCTGAGTGCTATTTGGAGAACTTGGGCACTCAGGTCAGGGCTTTTGGAGGATACATTAGTTGTGGGTTTCTTGTAGGTTTTTATGATGATTTGGGGTATTTTTATGTTTTTGTGTTTGCCTCTCTGTTCATGTGAAATAATTAGCTTACCAGTCTTTAACACAATTATAGCCCAGGCCCAGAGATTCCTGGGAGGGGCTTGTGCTGAATACAATGGAGACCCCTACTGGGGTCTGTGCATAAAAGGCCAAATTTGGTTCATTAAAATCAGTTGTACTCCCAGAACTATGTGTCGTCTAGTTACTAGTCACTGTTCAGCACCTTGTTCCAGCTCATGGAGGATTCAGCGAGGAAAGTCCTTGTAAGGACTACAGCTCCCAGGACTGCATGTTGCCCAATCCCTGGGAGTGAATAGAGCTAGTCCTCTATCCTGTTCCAGGACGGAGAGGCTCCAGAAGGACCCCAATCAAGCCCCAGCGACTGGGGCAGAAGCGGTCCTTGGCAGAAGAGCTCTGCTACACTATCTACCTCAATCCCTTCATCTATCTGTCAGTTGACTGTTAGTGTTGTCGCGAACCGTTCGGTGGCGAACTCCGGTCAGCTGACACATCCCGGCCAATCTCCAGCAGACCCTCCCTCCCAGACCCTCCCACCTCCTGGACAGCATCCATGTTGAAGGCAGCTTAAACATGGATGCTGTCCAGGAGGTGGGAGGGTCTGGGAGGGAGGGGCTGCTGGAGATTGGCCGGGATGTGTCAGCTGACCGGAGTTCGCCGCGAACGGTTCGTGGCAAACCGTGACGAACCGTTCGTAAAAAGTTTGTGAATGGTTCGCGACAACACTATTGACTGTCTTTATCTACCTGTCTGTCTTCCTCTACTGAGAGACAGAGAAACAAGCCAACTACCACTAATATATTTTGGTATTCTGCGTTATGAAGTGCTATGCAAATTAAATGTTAATATTTTTCTTTACACGTCATCACAAATAGGATTAACACAAGGTAATATTTTACTACTTTTCTTACTTACATTTGGTAGTGCTCTTTACTGCTTTGAATGCTCAATCACCCTAATACATACGCATCTCTCACCAGAACAAATTAATTTGGTTTGTGAAATTATAGGTTACTTACCAATCTGCACTTCTTGGATTGTCAACTTGCTTTCTAGTGGTTGAAGCAGTTTTGGTGGTTTATCTGTGACAGGAGCTGAAATAAAAATATATGTTTTAACATAATTGCTGAAAAATACAATTATCTACTAAAAATTATCAATTATCTACTATCTAAAAAAAAAAAAAAAAAAAAAACTTGGACATAATTTTCTAGAAGACCTAGAGAGTTATCCTTATTTCCTTGAAAGATAGAATTCCTTTTTAGGAATGATGAACTAATGAATTAATCAGAATTTGCCAACACAAAACATGTACAAATAAATATATAAAATTGTATTAAAATATCATATATTAATTCACTATTAATATGAATGAACCATATTAACACTTTAAGGATCAAGTGTTAAACTTTGTCCTTATCATAAGATACTCCTTACGCCCTGCTTTGTCATAGAATGTCCTGCATATGTATCTTTGGCTGATTTATAAAACACTCATGGCATTAATTATGTGGGTCACTACATGTTAGAAGAGGATTCTTAAAATCCAGATTTCTATGACAGCAAATAGCGTCATTGTTCTTTAAAGGAACACTGTATCTTAACATATGTAGCTTAATATTTCAGTTTAATTTTGGGTTTTGGATGGTAGGGCATGGTGGCCAGCACTGTAGGCACTATAACAACTTCAAAAAGATTAAATTGTTAAAGTGCCAACAGTGTTCCTTTAAAAGGGGTTAAACATATAATTGTTTCATTTGCCACATGTTTGCATAGTCAGTTGCAACAAAACTATTTCTGTAGGTTTATCTTTCAATTGCAATTCTTATTCTCATTTTCTCCAAATGAAAAACATTATTTTCTGTTTGTATGTCAGGTACAGATCATAACTAATGCTAATAAAATGAAGATGTTCCTCTTTGTTTGATTCAAATGGTTCAAAAATGCATTTACTTGAGTGCACTCGATTGCACAAAATGAATATTTATTTTCCCGAATGAAAGAAGAATTCAGAAGTTTGTTTTTTTAAGTACTCATTTACAATTGCTGCAATTATTTCTGCAATCATGCTACTTTGTAGCAATTTCCATAATGACATTTTTAAAGATAGTGTATAACACAGACAATAAAAGCAAACATGACAAAGAACATCATATTTTATTGTTAGCTGTAGAATTGACTAATACAACTGATAATTTAATAAGATATATAAGATGTACTAGGCAAAGTTTTTTGTCTGGAAAGGGGCAACAAACTGAACACACATCGGCTACTGCTCGGACAAATTGGCATAGCTTTTCAAATCCAACATAGCAGATAAAAGAACATGATTGGTTATTTGACATGAAAGAAGACACATCTTAACTGTAATAATGAGTTGGAGTACAGAGCGACTACACGTACCTTAAGATACTCTAGACGTACCTGACTAACATGGTGTACTCAACAAACAAAAAATTTGTGCATGTCAGATAAACATCATACCATTGTCATAACTTCCATAGTTTGCCCCGTTATTGTAGCACTGCAAACTTTTTTTGTATATTCTCTTGTATATTCGCAACAAAAATAAAGAATTAAAAAAAAAATAATAATAATTAGAATGACAATCAGCAATCCTTCCATAAACCCTCTCTTATTAAAAAATAAATAGTTAAAACACTTAGGGGGTCAGTGAGACCCAATATTTTACAATGTGACAACATAGCAATTGTTTTTAATAGATAGGACCCTCTGTCCCTACTTGTATTCAAATCCAGTAAGATTCAATAATCTTTGGGTCTACGAACCAGTATGATCTCTCTTTTTTATGAGTGTATCCACTAGGTATCCAGCCATAGCTAAGATTAGTGCATAAGTACATCTGTTGTGCCAAAACAGGACTTAATTGTTTGTGCAAATTTTAAAAAGTTGATATGTCATCCTTTCTTGTCTCAAGGAAATGATTCCATTATGGTATCCTGAGTCCAAATGTTGCATGATGGAATTATTTCATTATGTAGCATTTGCCCAAATGGTGTATCACACTATTGTCTTGCTGGAGTAATGCCAATATCACTTTATAACTGGAGTTCCCTCTGTACGAAATGGCTAAGCTCATTTGCCACATATGTAAGTAAGTAATGTGCTAAGTCATTTAAATTACCAAGTTCTATGATCAGTCATATAATCCGTGACATTGGTATAACCTTAATGTGATGGTGGTCTATGTGGCTGAAAAATACAGAAGATTGGTCTTTTTTGTAAGCTGCCTTGAACGCAATACAGCCATAGCAGTGCTAAGCTGTGTATGCAGCCCTAAACTGCGTTTTTACTCGGACAGGGACAGTAAATAGTATTGTGACAGCCTAGAAAAATATGATTTAACAAATGGAATATACCCCCCTGCACTGTAATTAAAGAGCTTTAAAAGTATGAAATGTTTCCTGGCTGGATTTATATAAAACAAATTCTGAAATCTAACTCCTATTTGAGAGCATAATAAGCAAGGCAAATTTTCTATGAAACAGGGGGGCGGGGCCGGACCGCCGACGGGATCAGACGTGTTCTGTCTGAGCTCCCGCTTTGGGGCCGGAAAATCGGCGCAAACTGGAGGCAAAATCTTTCCAGCAACCCTCAACGGAGACTAAACTGAGCCCCAGATCCTGGGGTACGAGGAGAAACCCCTCAAGAGCCTGTCCGGCGCCTACAGTAACCCGAAAAAGGCCCGAGGCGTGCTGGAGCTTGAGCCGGGATGAGACGGCCGCTCTCCCGGGTCTCCGGTTGGTGTCCGGCCTCCCCCCCCCCCTCTGGACCGGGGGGGTCATCCCGGTCTGCATAATCAACTGCTATTACGCCAAGCTGGGCAGAAAACAATCACCCTGCTGGGAAACACTCACCGACAGCACCCTCCCAAGATGGCCGCCGCATGCCAGCCACAAGTGCGAACTACCCACAGGATGGAACTTGCACACAGACGAAACCATCCAGCGCCATCTGACCACCACAGTAATCATCTCCAGGGATGTGTCGGCTCACTACACTGGGCTAAACAAGGTGATGTTTGCAGCATATATATTTGGTGGAAAAACTCCTTTGTGCCTGAGGAAAGCACAGGCACTCTCCTGAGGCCCACCCTATCCCTCCTGGAGGCAACTACAGTAGCTGCAACTGCATCCACGCTTCTCCTGTGCGACACAGCACACCACTTACCACCTCAAGGTGCACCCTTTCCCAGACGGACAAGCAACCTTCAGAGCAAGCACACTGCCAGCACTGGGTATTGATTAAACAAACCCACGTAGGTCCTCTATTGTCTAATTTGAATGTGTTACATGATTGTGATGCAGCTCACCATATGCAAAGACTCCAAGAACTCTGCCATAATCTTGAGCATTCAGGACTTTATAAGATCCAGTAGCTAAATGGTACAACTTAATTCCACCTTGCAAGAATCACTTAAGTTTTCCTTTTTTGCTTGTTGTCCTAGCTAAGCTCCTCTCTGCCTTGCAAAACACACCTCTTATAACATTGGTCCCAGCAGGCTCATATAGTAATTCTATGTGTCGAACCCATGCATAGTGCTGTATATGTATATGTCCACTTAATCCTTGTTGGGTGCAGATAGCAAAGTGGCAGTGCCAATAGGTACTGTCATGGCAAGTAAGCCCAGTTTCACTCATAACTACTTAACTTCTTTACTAAGTGTCATGCCTGATTTGTCTCTCCTAACTACTTACTCTAATCTAAAAATGTGCAACGATACCAATGCCATAGGGATGTCTTGCTATGTATATCGATCAGTTTGCTCCTGCTGTTGTGGCATAGCAAATATGTCTGTTAATCACATGCACAAATAAAATAAAAAATTTAAAAAAAAAAAAAAAAATTTTCTATGAAACAGTATATACATATATTTATATATATATTTTATAGATCATATATATGTAAAAAGATGACATTTGTATCTTGTAATACCTTTTTTATTGGACTAACAAATTTTAATGACAAGCTTTCGGGAGAACCTCATTTTCTCAAGTCTAAAGCATTTCTGAGCAAGACGACAAAGTTGAGTTTTGATACAGGGGTTAAAGCGACATGTGCAGATAAGACACAGGTTTCATAGAAAATAGACACCATTCTCGCAGAGGGTCGTAAATATAAGGGGAGATTTTCTATGAAACCTGTGTCTTATTTGCACATGTCGCTTTAACCCCTGTATCACAACTCAACTTTGAATTCTATGTGTCGTCTTGCTCAGAAGTGCTTTAGACTTGAAAAAGGTAGGTTCTCTTGAAAGCTTGTCATTAAAAAATGATGTTAGTCTAATAAATAAGGTATTACAAGATACGAATTGTATCTGTTTTTTTACATCTACATCACTGGACTAATACGGCTACAATCTCTACTTGAACACTTTATATATATTTTTTTTTTTCATATATATTAATAAATAAAGTAGTTTCCATTTGATTTAAGGATATTTCTCTATATGGACCTGTCATGTTGCATATCTGCATGTGCATATGATCTTGAATAAAAAAGGGTCTTGTTTACTATTTTTAGGTTGTGCTTTATTTTTCTGCATTACACATATACACCCATCAGTCTTTCCCATTAGCATTTCCATGGTATTAAGGTTTTATGCTGCCCTAGGCAAGACCTAGTACTTGGACACACATCCTTGTCCATATTTTATACGCAGTTACTTTAACTGGCATTTTCTTGGCTCCAAGCTGCAATGGATTTTTTTCTTCACTTCAATCATGTCAATTACAAAGTGTTTCAACAGTGGAAAAGGGAGGAGTGAAATAAAAATATCAGTTTGCCTAGGACACCAGGAACCCTGGGGCATGCATATCCTTCACAAAGATTTAGGGCCACAGGGATTTATGGTGAAGAAGACTCTTCATGTTAATTGCATTACCTGTCAACATCGGCTTCTTTATGGCTATAAGTAGAATAACAGGGACTATGGATAAGAATAATGCAAGAGTCAGCATGTGATATGCAGCAGCTATAGGTACGGGAAATGCACATGGGAGTGAGCTGGCTACCTATGGCCTGAAGGCCTAACAAACAAATGGACCAAACCAGCAGATGCCAATACAGTCAATCCCTTTAATTTCGTACTAAATGTTTTAATATAGCATTGTAAGAATTACAATACAATAAGCATAACAGTGTAACATGTTCCGCAACGCTGTACAATTTGTGGGCTAACAGACACTTATTTGTATCCAGACAAGTTGGACACACAGGAACAGTGGGAACAGTGGGAACAGTGGGATTAAGGGCCCTGCTCAATGAACTTACATGCTAGAGGGAGTGGGGTATATTGGCACAAATGGTAAGGGTAGGGTAAAAAAAATAGGTTGCTAGGACAGTATTCACTGAGTGCTTATTGGTTTGTTTTGATGACAGTTGCAGGAAAGGAATCAGGGTGCCGGGAGGGAAAGCTGTTCACAGTTTAATTGATATGCTTTCCAGAAGAAGTATGTTTTCAAAGATTTTTGAAGGAGTGGAGACTGGGTGAAAGTCTAACAGAGAGGGGGAAGGACATTCCATAGGGATATTATATATTATATTTAACCCCTTAACACAGCTATGGCGTTCTATGCAGTCCCCATTTAAATGGGCTTTAAAGCCATTGCGGCGGCATAGAACGCTGTAACGGCTTAAGCACCCAGGAGCCTCCAGCTACTTACCTCCACCACGATCCTCTTTGGGAGGACTGCCTATATATATATACATATTGGTAACAAAGAAAACTTAGAAATGAAATTCTACATATATCTATCTACATATAAAATACAAATAACCGCAAATATATATATATATATATATATATATATATATAATTAAATTCATGATTGCATAAGTACATGTAGAACTTAAATATATATACCATATATTAAGTAATCATTTAGCATAATTATGTGATTTTATTAATTAAAATTTGACTGACATGCCTGACAACCCAGGCAGAAAGTGCAGAGAATTTAAATCGTAAGCACCAAATTTAATACAGGAACTTTCCAAAACACCATAAAACCTGTACATGGGGGGTACTCTTTTACTCGGAACACAAATAGTAGTGTTTCAAAACAGTAAAATGTATTACAACGATGATATTGTCAGTGAAATTGAATTTTTTTGCATTTTTCACACACAAATGGCAATTACACTGATGATATAATTGTTGTGATACGTTTTACTGTTTTGAAACACTAATATTTGTGTTCAGCGAAGTCTCCCGAGTATAACAGCACCCCTCATGTACAGGTTTTATGATGTTTTCAAAAGTTACAGAGTAAAATATAAGACTTGCAATTCAGTTTTTTCACATTGAAATTCCAGTGTTTAAACAATTCTTATTTTCTCAAATTTTGTATATTTTATTCATATTAAATTATGCTTCTTACCTAAATATTTGATGTTAAATGAAAGCCCTGTTTCCCCTGAATAAAAGGATATTTAATAAGTGTGGGTGCACTTAATATGAAAGAGTCAAATTACGGTTGAACAGACATATAGTCAAACTCCAGATTTTGTTTTGATCACAACTTGTAAATTTGGCTCAGTCCTTAACCCCTTAAGGACCGGTCTGTTTTTGCGATGTTGTACGTTAAGGACCAGAGCAGTTTTGACACTTTTGTGGTGTTTGTGTTTAGCTGTAATTTTCCTCTCTCTCATTTACGGTTCCCATACAAGTTATATATTGTTTTTTTCAGGACAAGAAGGGCTTTCTTTACATACCGTTATTTGTATCATGTCATATATTTTATTTTTATTTTTTTTAAATAATAAAATATGGTGAAAAAATAACATGTTTTTGGACTTTTACTTGAAAAATCTTTTACTTATCTACAAAAGCTAATGAAAAAAACTTTGTCCCAAGTTTAAAAACACCCAGTGTTTACATGCTTTATTGCTTTTTTTTGCAAATTATATGCCTATAAATACAAGTAGGAAATTGCTGTTTCAATATATATATATTTTAAATGTATCAATAGTGACATTGTAACACCGTTATCTGTCATAAATCCCCGAATCACACCTCACATGTACATATTTTTTTGAAGTAGACAACCCAGGGTATTCAAAATGGGGTATGTCCAGTCTTTTTTAGTAGCCACCTAGTCACAAACACTGGCCAAAGTAAGCATTTATATTTGTTTGTGTGTTAAAAATGCAAAAAATGCTAACTTTGGCCAGTGTTTGTGACTAAGTGGCTACTAAAAAACCTGAACATACCCCATTTGCAATACCTTAGGTTGTCTTCTTTTGCAAATGGTATGCCATAATGGGGCTAATTCTCATTCCTGGGCTACCATACGCTCTCAAAGGCAACCTAAGCAATCTGACAAATTTCAATAAAAAAAAAAAGTAAAATCAAGCCTTATATTTGACTCTGTAACTTTCACAAACACTATAAAACCTCTACATGTGGGGTACTGTTATACTCAGGAGACTTTGCTGAACACAAATATTAGTGTATCAGAACAATAAAATGTATCACAGCAATAATATCATCAGTGAAAGTGCCGTTTGTGTGTGAAAAATGCAAAAAATTTCACTTTCACTGACAATATCATCGCTGTGATATGTTTTACTGTTGTGAAACACTAATATTTGTGTTCAGCGAAGTCTCCCGAGTAAAACAGTTCCCCCATGTACAGGTTTTAGGGTGTTATAGAAAGTTACAGGGTTAAATACAGTGCTAGCAAATTAAATTCTCTGGACTTTCGGCCTGGGTTGGCAGGCAGGTCCCTCAAATTGCAATCATTAAAATTACTTAATTAGGTAAAAAATATTACATAAATACGCACGTAGAATTTTAATATATATTCATATTTATATATTTGACGTCTACGTGTATATTTATGAAATTATTTATGTAATTATGTATATGGACATATGTATATTTCGTATTATTTTTATTTATTTATTTATACATAGATATATATATCATTACATTCAAAGTGTATTTTGATATAAATATATATATATATATATATATATTAATATCAAAATACTGTTAGAATAAAATTACATATATATATAATATTTTTTAATTATTAAAAATTATTTTTACTTTTTGTTATTTATTTTTATTAACATATTATTTATAATTTAGAAGTTATTATATATATTGTATATATACGTGTGTAATTTAAATTAAAAGTGTATTTTTATATTAATATACGTATATATAAATATAAAAATACACTTAGTATGACATTATATGTATGATATATATGCATATATATATATATATATATAT